ACATGGTACAAGACTGTTGTGAGTAACCTTGTACCATGTGACCTCTGTGATCATTCACAGGTTTCACATGTAGTAAGCAATGATGTCAGAAGAGATATCTTGCATACTACTATTCATGTTATCACATGATCGGGACCTTGCACAGAGGTCCCGTACAGCGATCGGTGTTCTGCTGTGTCCAGAGGAAACAGCAGGCACCGGATCATGGTGCTGTGCACTCCCAGGGAGCACGCACAGGCAGGGAAGCGGGGAGGACGTTTATAAACGGCCACCCGCTCCTGCAATGCTTCCGTCCAGCCATTTCTATACATGGGCCGGACGGGAAGTGGTTAAAGTGTCACTTCAATCATAAAATTAAGTCCTGCTAGATCACTTTAGGCTGGCCCCTTTATATGGGGCCCTTTAGCAGGTATAGCTATGTAAAACATTACAAATAGGTACTTATACTATTTAAAATCCAGTAATATAATTTCTCACCTTGCAGTGCACATGCTCAGCTGCTCTCTATTTTTGGCACTGCTAAAAAACTAGAGGCCGATCTGCTGACAGTCTAAAGATTTACTGCTGCTCAGGGACTCTGGGCTTCAGCAAAATGGCAGCCTCTAGCAACGTTCAATTTAGATGTCAGACTCACTTTTGCGCAGAAGAAACAGGAGCAATCCTAGAGGCAATTTACAGCACACACTAATTTTGGTATCATAATTAAACATGCATGCTTACCTAATACAAATATGTACATTTGTGAAAATAACTTCCATACAAACGATCATTTAGATGTCAGATCACTTTTGCACGTCTATCTATCATTTAACGTGTATAAGTGTCTTTTATCTACAGTTGTACTAATAAGTGTCAAAATAATTAGTGTGCAATTCCAGGTATAACATTGCCACATTTTAATGAAATAACAAATTTATTATATTATTTTCAAAAGCTTTCAACACTTTCAGGCAGTATATTTCCTGTTAAATAGCTCTGTGTAGCAAGTTTGATGGGAACATTTCCTTATGATATACTTTGCCCATATAGTCCTATTAAAATATAATAAATCAATATCCTGTAATTATACAAATTATATATACAGTCCTCACATCATTTCTGCTGCATAAACTCAAAGACAAGCCATAGTATTAGTGGAGAACACTAAATAAACACTACAGTATATAAATTAGTGCAAGTTTTCTGGAAGTATGGTCCTTTAAAAGGTCCTGCACCAGAGACAGTAAGAACACTTATAGAGACAGTCAGAGCACCTATATCTGTATTTTGTGTAGCAGAGTGGCATATTTGCCACTGCTACCCCCCTCCTCTCCTGTCACTGGTTGTTAAGGACTTCTCAGCCAACAAAGTCCTAGCAACCAGTGAAGCTTAAAGTGGGTGGAGCCTGATGAAGAAGGTGATACACTAGTTCCCTAACAGGTATGCTCTCTCCTTTTTTTTTAAACAAGAAAATTCTACAGCCAATAGCAGGCTGTCAATCACAAGAAGATCAGAGTTTATTAAGAACTAGAGTCTATGAATCCTCATCAGGCTCTGCCCTCAAAGCTTTAAAAATCATTGGCTCCTGCACTGTCTGTGTGACAGAAAACAGTGGCATGAAATCCATACGGACACTCCAGCATTATTGAGCCTTAGCCCTGGATGCTTGCACAATTCATGCACATGTATCCAACAGGTACAATGGAATCATAAGAGTGTTGTAGACACGCTTTGTAAATTCCCCTGTATATTGTTTGGTTGTAGCATTTTGCCCCAACAGAAGGATATTTAGTCTAAAAAGCAGACCAATAGAATGTCTACTCTAAACCAATATTTTAGTTTCAAAATTAGATATGTAGTCCATATTTTATACTTATGTAAATTCATGGGGCTGAGAAAAATACATATTTTATTTCAAATATAATTTTCTGTGTAAACAACAGCCACCACTGGCTACTGGTTATTTCAAGTTTTTATTAGCATAATCCTAAGAATCATAATCATAAGATTTTTATAGACAATATTTCCACTATGCTTTAAATGTGATTCAGTGCATTTGTTTGTAACCCTACGAATTCCTATTCTTTCCCATATGATAAAACAGCAGTAGGAAGAACTCCTACCTATGGCATCATTCCAGCATAAACAAGTAATGCTCACTTAAACCAAATGTGCATGTTAGGAACATGAATCACCTCAGATAGACCTCTTACAATAGATCATGAAAGTCAGTCAAATTGTCATCTGAGGCCTAAGCCTCCATTGAAGCTCAACATTAGGCAAAATTTTATTTTTCCCCCCTGGATAGAATAAGGAAAGACTAGAACTCCGGTCTGGTTTTTATTGTTCCCTAAGGAGATTTCCTCTGCAATCTCAGAGAGTCATAAAGTGAGGAGAAACAGCAATAAAACACTTGTATTTTGGAGTGGGTAAAGGTTGCATCCCAGGTCAGGTTTTTACTGCTTTATGTGACCTGCCTGTCCTAGTGATTCCCCTTACCTTAATTTCTTGTTCTGGTGGTACAGGGGTGGCACTGACATATAGGGCATTTGAAATTTGATAGGGGTCCTTCCCAACTTCATTGAAAAGCAAAAAAAAAAAAAAAAAATAGTCTTGTTTTGGCTTCAGAACTGTACTAAGCAGGCAGTGGTGCCATACTGTGATACGTACATGATACAGATGTGAACTATACAGGCGTTTATCATTAATATACATATATATATATATATATATTACATGAGTTTTTACCAGTGTCTAGTGACCAAAAAAATCACACAAAATAATGGCCACTTGAACAGATCCATTTAATTTTCCGTTTAAAGATATTTTTTATTTAGGCATACACTATTGCTTGATGACTCATTACACACGCTCTGTTCAGTTAGATATACTGTAGTCTATGAGATTATATTGTGTGCTCATGTCTGTGAATACCCATCGCTTAGTTTCATTTGTACAAGTTTGAAAATTCTAATAAATTTTTCTGATGACATTTTGCTTCAAGTGTACCAAAATACAATGATATACATCTGGTCAATCTTAACATGTCTGCAGCACACAGAGTACTTCAGGAAATTAAATGATTAAGATGGTCTTGTCAGAGCCAGCAACTAGCCAACCATTATGACTGTAGAAACAGGCAAGGCAGCACCACAATATGAGAAAAATAAATTTATTCTATCAAGATGTAGATTCTTGAATGAAAAGAAGAAGCCATAATTTAGGAAGATCCCACAAATGTTTAGAGGAAATGCATAGTGTTTTATTCTATATAATTTCTCTATTAATACATTATGTTCAGAATTAAAACAATCCACTTTTTAAAAATATTTATTTTTAGTCTATCAAGTGTGAAATATTGCGTATAAATATGTCACATTATCCTGCAGCTAGCAGGCAGTGAGTGCAGGTTTAGTACTCCAAAGGCTTTAGATAGCTGGCTTACAGTTCTGCGGTACAGACACGAATGGCAAGATCTTCTATTACACACTCAGAGCTAAATGAGTCAGCTGAATAACTCAGAACAGAGACACATTTGCAGAAGCAGCAAACAGGTGCACACTAGTGATAGGAAAATCTGCTCGGGTTTGATTGATGGGCTGGTTGGGCAAACACATCCAAAATGTGCAATTTGCAATCTTTAATGTGAACCTCATTAAAGTAAAGAGGAGACAAACATTGAGAACCCATTACCTCTATTATTAAGGCTTTAGGCCAAGCAGGACACGTAAGGAAAAATATTTTAAAGAATACCATTCAGTCGGGAGAAGTTTATTTAGTTAGCTTTACGTGAAACATTAATGCACAATTCCTTTAAATAACATATTGGAGGATGCCTTAAAACTTAAATCCTGTGAAGTGGATATGTAGGATGTACTAAAGTAATACTGACGTCCCGAAGTTTTTGTTTTGTTTGTACACAAAGTAATTTTCCAGGATAATAGGCAAGAGACTGTCAAAGGGTATGGGTAGCTGGGCACTGCCCCAAGGGACCTGTACCAATGCTAAAAGAGTTCTCAAAATACCATCAAGTAGAGAGCATTTCTTTTAAAAGGCAACATTAAAAATACACAATTTGTTTGAATAACATGCTTGGAGCATGCTTTATACCAGCATATGAAGTGTACAATGTACTAAAGCAAAACTGACAATTATAGAGTGAAAATACCATTTAAAGTTCTGCTAAATTATATTTTCCAGCCATTTTGTTCTGATTGTAAACAAAAAGGCTGGGATTTCCCTAGAAACTTGAACTTCCTAGATGAATGTCCGGTAAAACTGGTAAAGGGGACCCACAAAGAACAAAATTAAAAAAAAGGCAGATGGTTTCCCCTAAGAATCCATACCAGATTCATATCCCTACAAAAAAGTGGATCTACCAATCCAATTCTGTACAACCACCCTGTCAGATTTTTACCATTTGATCAGCCCCACAGGCTGTAGCCGGCAGTGCTGATTAGTGTATTCTGATGGCGGGGAAGTCTCCCCACTGTTAAAATATAACAGCTTAGCAGGGAATATTCCTCCACCCACATCCAATGTGTGGATAGGTGAATTTAGTAACTTTTTTCTTTCAACCCTCTGGTTGTATGAAAAATATGAATCATCTATGGGCTGCCTTAGATGATGCAGTTAGTATTCTCCACTTGATGGCTATCTCAGTTCAAAGGAAATTTGTACATTTTAAAAATAATTGTATTCTATTTTGTATGCTTTTCCTATGTATTGTACATTGCACTCATTGTGCACATGGCACTAATAATGTTTTCATTACGTTTGCAAAAATGTTTTCATTACGTCAAGTCCTGATTAGAAATTAGCCTGCCTATGTAACTCCTCTAGTTACCATAAAAGTACAATTGTAATATTAAGGGCTCATGTACACTGCAGCTGATAAACTCATGTTTAGGAGCTGTTCAGCATTTTTTTCAGCAGCCCCTGAGCTCACCCTAATGTTTTCCTATGTGTCCATGCACACATCTTCGTTTACAGGCATTTGAGTTTACAGTCGTTTTTTTTGAACGCAGAAAACTTGCGTTCAGCAGTTGATTCTATCAGCGTTTTAAATGCAAAATGCTTGTAAACACAGCTAAACACGGCAAACCGCATTTATAAGCATTTGTGTCTGAAATTTTTTTGAACTCTTCTAGTTCCCGATGCTGTCCAGAGCCTTTTTTTCATCATGAAAAATGCATGCATGCAAGTGTTTTCAAGGTACTCAGATGGACAAAACACTGAAAACAGGATGTTCCTATCAAGCTTGTCACATGTAATGACCACACACCTCAAACCTCTCCCACCCTTGGAAACAAAAGATATGTTAATAACCATTCACACCTCAAATTCCTCATGAAGACCCCCTGCCAGGTGACCTTAATGACTCACTCCTCCAGATACCTTTCCCACCCTTGGAAACAAAAGAAATGTTAATGAGCAACTCACACCTAAACTAATTTCAACATTCTGCTGTCTCTGCTTCCAGTCTCTCTATTTCTCTGAAACAGTCTGAAATAGTTAATATTTTACCACTTTTCAGTGCATTCTGGGCATTTGAGAGGTTCTCCTGTGCTTATCTTTAAAAAACGCTTCTAAACACAAACGCACATAATCGTGCATAAATGCGTTATGCGAACGCGGCTAAAAATACTTTTTTTTAACCTATGTTTTCCAGCAGTCAGTTTTCATAGTTCAGAAGTGTCCCATGTACATGGGGCCTAATGTGATACCTACGTAATCATGTGTATAAAAAAACTTCAAATGAGCTGAATAAACATAACAGTAATTTGGAAAGATGCTGAGTGTACCTTTTTCTGTCTGTTCCCTACTGCAGTAGTTATTAATTTGGAACCACTAATCAATATGAGGATAGGAGTTGCCTATGTATAACATTTCAGTATCAATGTCCAGAACCTACATTTGGTGACATTTTGTCTTTCTCCCATCAACACAAGCTAAACAGGATTCTGCCTTAAGAGTTCTACATCTCCTTCAATTTTATTAGTCTGTCACTAAGGCAAACCTTGGGGTGATCCGTTATCATGTTCTTATGGCCCTCTATACACATACATTTACAGCTCTAAATATCATTATATATTTATTTATTTTTATCATTATTTTCACCACTGCAATAATGGCTTATCCTTCCACATCCTATATGATTTATCCATTCTTGGATAATGTTGGCTTTGGGGTATGCTTATTGCAGCAGCATTCTGAGATAGGGTTTGTAAACCCTTAATTGTGGGGATCTGTTGCAAATTCCTGATGCCTGTTTTTTTTCCCCATCCCTCTAATTCATTGCTTGGGTATGTCCCAGGAGTTATGAACACTTTGCCTGTTTCCTGTACTGTACGATTAAGAAAAGAGGAATTTTGACTTACCTGTAAATTCTAAATCTTGGAGTACAGTACAGGCCACCTTCCTGTCCATCCTTGGTTAATCTGCATTGTTTGGTACAAAAATGAGGACTCACAGAGTGAGGCAGGGTTAAAGAGCAGGTGTGCCAGAGGGGTATGTCACCAAAAGTTTGCCAGTGTCCAATCACTTGAGAGTATGATGCCTATAACCCAAGACCTATGAATACTTTTCTTCTGTCTTGCACTGTTCCCAGGATATGGAATTTACTAATTCAAATTAACAAAATAATATTTTTATGTTTACAGAAAAATCAATTTCTTGTTGCATTGAGTGACATAGGCCTCATCCCTCTGTACATAAAATCTTTCTTCTAGTATTGCTTTTATGAAAAACTGAGGCATTCTGGGAGTGAAAGGGTCATACTGGCTAGTCATAGTTTGCCAGTGCCCAAATCCTCCTGTAGGCAGCAGTATAACTAAATTGTCTCTGAATCCTGTTTCCCTCAGCAAACTATGAAAATGGATTTAACAGTGAGAGCAAAAATCTGATTATCAGTGATACACATAGCTCTAGGTTATATTGTGTATAAACTGCTATTTTGCCAATGTGCATTGTAATATATATTCAAAGATAACATTAAAATTCTATTTTGGACCCAAAGCTAAGCTAAGTTTTAATGAATTTAATTTAATCTTTTTCTTAAACATCTTTGAAGTACATAGTTACTGAGCGATTCATCTTTGTAAATGTAATTTCTATTTTGAACAGATAATTGACTGTCAATGATGTAGCCTCAAAGGAAATTCATTACTTTCATATTCTTTGCAATAAAAAGGCATATATCATTGTCCTTTTGGTAACAGTGTCACACTAACACTGACAATGATTCAACTTTGAAACCACAACACTTTTCTGTGTATACTAATGGGTGCTAATTAGGCTGTGTCAGAAATGTAAAAATGTCCAATTGATGCCTACTTTTTGTATGGATTTAATTTACTAGTTAATGTACATGTATCTATATAATTTGACCTTTCCAGCCTGTGTTTTATTTTTTCTATTACATACAGATACTAAATAACAAATAACCTATTTGCAACAAATATCTGAGCTCCAGACTTGTAGTTAAAGGCAACCTATAGCCCTGTACACACGATGAGAATATCGGACGAACGATTTGCATTTTTTTTCGCCTGCTAGTCTCACATCGAAAGTGAAAAGATTATTAAAGATACGAAAATTCTCCTATGAAAGAAAATAATTTTGAAAGTGATGCCATGTGCTGTATTGTATTTGTATTATATTTTCGGACGACTACTATGTACTGATTAAATGAAAATCGTACGATCTGCTATCGTACGAGAAACATTTTTGCGCTTGTCCCTTTGGGTATTGTCGCACAAACTGTCGTGATCAGCTCTCGAAAGCTGTGTACTAACGATCCAATTATCTGACGATCTTTCCTCGTACGAAAATTTTCGTACAATATTCTTATAGTGTGTACAGGGCATAAAGTGAGAAAAATACATAGGCTGCCCATGGATGCCATTGCTAACTGAAAATATTAATTGCTGTTCTGTCATGGCCTTAAATGTTTGGGACCCAAGGAAAATATGCCTAGGTGGTGTGCAGATTTAGTGCAGCTCTGTATGTGTTACAGTCAGTGGCTTGGTAAGGCTGCTTTCACACTGATCCATTTTTCTTCCATTTTTGCATTTAAAAAGCATAAAGAAAAACACATGACAATTAAATCTTTTGGAACTCTTCACAGTGGCCAGCATAGGGTCTGTTGTGTTTTTCAAAGTGCAGCAAGCTGCATTTTTGGTGTATGTTTGAGAAGAGTGAAAAAAAAATAAATAAATAAATAAATAAATAAAAGCAGCTATGCACACAAAGGGTAACCAATAGCCCAATAAATTAAAGTATTAAACATAGAATTGTGCAGAGCTAAGGTAAATATATATATATATATATATATATGATGATTTGATGTCCAAAAGGACAATAAAATACCAAAAAAAAGTGACTAATATCTCAATGAATTATCCATTTGTTCCAATGTGGGGACTTTTGTGCATCTTGGTCCGGCAAGTAGTGCTATGGTGGTGTAAAAAATGCGCACTCACCGGACGCGCATAGTAATAGCACTTTGATATAATTAATCCAGATGTCATCTATTGGAACCTGATGCTGAAAGATCTTCCCTCTATGGGATGGGTCATCAGGTAATGTGCCAAACACTATGGATCCTTGTTTCTTCCCGGGGTAGTATCACCAAGTATCCGTGAGGAATATCAGCCTGTTCAGGGATGGCGGGTCTATGGATTTAAAGTACTCCCCCAAGGGGTGGAAACAGGAACACTCCCATAGTGTAGTAGGTATTTTAAAGTAACTTTATTGTTGATGCATCAAAATAGCAAGATTAAAATAGTGGGTATAATACAGACAGTACTCCACGTTGCACTTTAGCTGCAGTGGCCAGGGGTGTACACATTTCGCAGCTGCAGCACAAGTTATATGCTCTGTCATGGTTGGAGGGTGTAGCACCTACCATGCATGACCCATTCATGTGAATAAGTCTGCTCTGCAGTTTTCTGCAACCTTGTGCAGTGCAAAAAACAAGGGGTTAAAGCAGGCAGCATTGTGTTGCTTACTCACCACCTGTTTTAACCCCTTAAACTCCACAGAAGCATGCAGTTGCGGGACACTTGCAGAGTTGCCCCATTTACTTGAATGGGTCGCAATTGGCAGGTGGTAGCACCCACCAAAAGCAACATGGGGTTTAATTCCTGCTGTGACATGTGTACACCTTTCGCTGCTGCCTCAGTAGCTAAAGGGGGTAGGAATTGGGGGACGGTAAAACCACAACTCAACCGCAGGGTTTCACCACTCCAACTTCACGTGTGAATGAGCCCTAAGGGTGCTGCTACTGGCTAAGGGCTCATTCACAAGTGCAGCAGGCACTGCTGTTTCTCTGAAAAGCCATCTAAGTGTGTTTGACAAGTGGTGAGGAGGTGATATGTTGCCTCCTCACCACTTGATTTAAACCCATGATTGTTGTGCAATGCACGCAATTGTGACATCATGGTAGTATGGCAAGTAGAGGTTTAAATCAGGTGTGAGTAGGTGACACTGGGCGACACTGTGCCCGCTGATCCTTGACTTCTCCCATATTGTTCAGGTAGATCTCCACCTCTTTAAGGTTACCTACCCCTGCTTTAAAGGGTTGGTTCACTTTCACTAAAAAAACTGCCTGCATGGAGGGTAGGAGGTTGGTATCATGTTTCTCTCCTCATTGGGTGCTAAGTGTGGGTCACATAGGAAGCTTACCCCAGGGTGGTTTCTTCTGGGTCACTCTAGGCCAGTGGTTCTTAACCTTTTTGGAGGTACTGAAACCCACCAGTTTCATATGCGCATTCACCGAACCCTTCTTAATTGGAAAAATAAAATATGATTTTTAAAATTCAAAACATAGGTATATATTTATACATAGGTGCACAAAATGAACAAAACCATTAAGAACAAAGAACAAAACCATTAAAACATGATTTTCACACAAAAAACAAAATAATGAATATTTACCGCAAATCAGTGTGACTTCTGCTGTTGTCTTTCAGAGGCCAGTTCAGAAATGCGCGGCATTACCTTGGCAAGTGCCACTCTCATGTCATTTTCGCAACAAAGTCTGTTCCTTTTCTTCGTCTTTATGTCCAGCATCCTCGAAAAGGATTGCTCGCACAGATATGTTGTAACAAACGGTATGAAAATTCATCCCCCATATAGTAATTCATCCCCCATATAGTAATTCATCCCCCATAGTAATATGTATTCCCGCGCCGTTCCGGTCTTCAGGGCGGACTGTGAGAGGAGCCTAGCTCCTCTCACGTTCGTCACGCTGCCCCGCCTACACACATCCTGACAGCCAATCACTGGCTATCAGGATGTGAGTGGCAGCGAGACTGGCCAATCATTGCATTTGAGTCCCTGCCGCCGGAG